GGTGTTTAATCTCATAACTACATTGGTATATACTTGAATTAAAAATAGATTCCTTTTAGTTTACCCTTAAAACTAGTAATTGATAGAATGACTTTTTGGAGAGAAAGGTTGATTTATTGGTATATTATAAGATGAATAAATAGCAATAAATTATTTATTAATATATTATGAGTTCAATATATTAATTAGACAAAATTACAAAAATGGTCCCTGTGGTTTGCCAAAAGTTACAAAGTCAGTCCCTGCTAATTTTTTTTTATGCAAATGGTCCTTTTCGTTTGCAAAATTTGCAAAGATAGCCCTTTTTACTAACACCATTAGTATTGAGCCATTACAAATTGAATCTGTAAGTGCATTTTCATCTTTTCAAGTATAAAGGGACTAAATTCGTGACATTTAATAAACCACAAGGACCATTTTTGAAGTTTGTTTGAAAAAGTGAAATAATTAGCTTTAAGAAGAAGGGGCAAGGCTCAAACTCGAGACCTACCCCTTATATCATAAGGGCCCTTACCAATTGAGTTGGAAGATCATTTAGTTATATCTTCCGAAAACTATTTTATATAATAACAAAAACGTTAATACATAAATAATAAATAAATTATAAAAAACAATTTGTTTTATATAATTTTTTTTAAATAAAGCAAAATGTATTTTAGCTGTATTATAAAAAATAGTTTTTTACAAACAATTTGTATGTATTTTTATGTATTTATTTTACGTAAAATATATTATTTTATGTCTCTAAAAAATACGTTTTCGTATAAAAAATATGTTTTCATAAAAAAAATCTTGTCTTCGAAATAATATAATTAGCACTACTCATGACATAAAAAATGTATAAATTCTTTTGGGTCGCTAATTCTAAAACCGTTTTTTCGGTTATATGTATTAAAAACAACATAACAACGATTTTGTTATGTATTTATATGGTTTTTTTTTATGTCAAGAGTAGTATTAATTATCATTATTTCAAAAAGATATATCATTATTTCTTTTGTTTCTTCATTTTATTAATACGATTTGAAACTTGCGATTAAGATGAAATGTGTATTTTAAATAATATATATAACCGATTAAATTTTTTATGCTTTTTTAGATACATATAACTAAAAAACGGTTTTCAGAAAAATGATTGGACCAATTCGGTTATATATCATATTTAAAATATGTATTACATCTTAATCGCAAGTTCTAAATCGTATTATTAAAATGAAGATGAAAAAAAATAATGATATATATCTTTTTGAAATAACGATAATTAATATTACTATTGACATAAAAAAAACCGTATAAATTTTTTAAATACATAACAAAATCGTTATTATGTTGCTTTTAATACATAACAAACTCTTGACATCTTCGTCTTTTCAAGTATAAAGGGACTGAATTCATTGGATTAGTTAAAAGTGCAAAGACTTGTAGGTGTTCAATAGTTAAACAAGAGGATGATTTTAGAATAATCTAGGGATGGCTGAAAATTTGAAGCTTCCTTAGGTTTCTAAATTAATCCTTAAGGATAATTATGAATATGCATAATTACCTAATTTGAGATAATAATATTATATTCAAATTAGTGTTATGTATTCCATCCTTGTTCAGGTATATAAGGAGCTTTTAGGCTCATAATTTCAGCCACTCCTTATCAAGAAGAGAAAGTCGTAAATCACCTCATCCCTCCCTTATCGTCTCAAGGATTCTATTGCTAGGTTTTAGGTACAAACCATTAGTGGCACGAGATTTCTGGTGCTTTCTTTCGGAAGCTTGTTCAATAAGGAATTGTTTGACTACTTTCTACAATAATCAAAAGGTATGTAACCCCAAAAGCCCTTGATGAGTTTCAAAAATAGTAGAGTATTCCTAGGGTTCTTGATGTTCAACTATCTGTCGCAACCAATAGAGAAAACTTAGATCCAATAGTTTTCATGTGAACTAAGGGTTAAGTTTTTTCCGCTACATATATTTTTGTAACCTGTAAAACCTATCAATACCATGAACCTATGTATGTACGACTGGTACGGGTGGAACCCGACATATGTGTTTCCAAAGCTTATAAACTTCTTTCTATAGTCATGATTTAAGTGCTATGAACCTTGGGGAAAGGTTATTGGTAGCTCAGTGATCAAGAAATTTTTGGATTGGCATTCGAAATAAATATTGACTAGTTAGATGTTATGGTTGTACGTCAGAAGTACTCCATTTAGAATCTATATTGATGGACCCATAATTATTTATGAAATTTGTTATTATGAGTTTGCCTAGCAGTAATGGAGTATTGGATCTGGAAAAGTTAGAACCATAAATTTACATTAGTAGCATTAGATGATATATCAGGTGGTTGTATGCTTGAGCCAGATTGACAATTTGGATATGAAATGAGGATATGATTCATTTATTGCCTCTTGGGAACTACTGAATAATGATGACTTATCAGGTAGTTAAGTGAACATCATGATTCCGTTTGGTCATGATTTTCTTGATTGGGGATATGTTGAGTTTATTGGTCTAGAATGTTGAGGGTTTTCGCTCATGCGTTAAACAGTGATGTACCTTGTCGAAGGGGTTGGTGATGTGTATTTTTTTAGAAGGAGATAGTTAGTCTTTGAGTGAACTTCCTATGACGAAGAAGGTAATGGTTGCGAGTCGTATAGGTTCAGATGGTTGGGAATTACCTCAAGAACCCCTATACTCGATGTAATGAATCAAGAGTGATTGGTGAATCCATGAGAACTGTGTTGGGTTGTATTCTGCATTTTTAGCCAAGTTGGATTTTGAGAACAAAATCCAAATAAGTGGGGGAGAATTATAAGATCTCGTTATGGGATGTTTCTTTACTTGGAAATCAGACGTTAATTCACACATGAGAAGGTATTCGGTCTTAAGGGATGAAGATTAGACCTTAAAGGAATGAGGTTTTTGGGCTAAGGTTATAAGTCTTTCGACTAAAGGTTTAGTTTTGGGCTGAAAAGCAGTATGGGCTTAATTTGATTTAGGGTATTGTAGGATCAGGATTTTCATGACTCCACATGGGAAGTATATCGGTGCAAAGTTTGTGCAGCCCAAACACATGAGTTCAATAGAGCATGTGAAAAAGGAACGGGTCATGTGACAAGGGAATGAATCATGTAACAAAAGAACAAATCATGTCACAAAGGAGCACATCATCTAAAAGGGGGTATGGAGGACTTGGGAAAGGAATAAAGCACTTGGCAGGGCCAGTCAAAACATATATGCAGCCCAAGACGAAAACAAAAAAAAGCCCCTTAAAGACAAATATAATAAAGATTAAAAAAATATCATTTAATCTTCACTATAAACGCGTTTAATTTGCAATAACAACCAAGCTAAATTGTTTATCTTTTGAGCTAGTTTGAGTTTGAACCAAATTTAGGCTTTAAAAATAATTTAGATAATAATTTTTTTAAATATATATATTACATAGCCCAGAAATTTTAGCACCCTTAGGGACGTGGGCCCTGAGCGGTCGCCCAGGTTGCCCACCTTTTGGACCTGGCACCTGCCAAGGTAATAAAACATCTAGTTATGTTACATGATGAATATATGTCATCTTGGAAGTGAGTGTACCAACTTGGAACATGGATGCTCCTTCATTGGAGGGGGATGCTCCACTTTAGGTCCAGACACACCATTTATGAAGGTGGGTGCGCCATCAAGAAGGAGATGCATCACTTTGGAAGCTAGATGTGCGATGTTGAAGGAAGATGTGCCACCTTGGGCTCAAGGTGCGACACTCTAGTATACTATGATGTATTGATGTGTTGTGGAAGCATGTATGCGCCACTGATGATCATGATGTGTCACTTGTGCATCATGATGTGCCAGTAGGTGGCTTGACGTGCAACACATGTTCCTGGTGTGTCACATGTGTTCCTAATGAGCCATGATATCCCTTGATGAGCCACTTATGCTATGATGTACACTATGATGCTCAAGATTATCCAAGGATGCTTAAAAGTTGAAGATGCTCAAGGATTACTGCATGATGTGCCACCATGATGGTGGATGAGCCATGGTGATCATGATGTGACACTCTTGCATCATGATAAGCTACTATGAATCATGATGTTCCTTCATGTGTGTTGTTGATGCTTATGTAATGATATCAAGGACGAAGGTTCCAGAATCTACTGCATGGCGAAATGTGATTGGTTAACACCTTTCATGGGTCTATGGATTAATGGGTTTGGCTCATTTGGGTTTTAGGTCTGATCCACAATCTATAAATAATGATATCTTCTAGTCATTCGATTGTGTCTTAAATGTCTTTGATTCTGAAGTGATAGAGAAATCTTTGTTGAATTGTAATTATAATCTTTGTTTGAGAACTCATAAATAAAGAATATTCCCTCATTCTCATGGACGTATGTGTCTTGTGTGCTTTCTATTTTGCTTGTTATCTGTATTACTTTCTAACAACCGGGTTCACGGGTCAACATATAAAATTATTTGCAAACCCGCACAAAACCGACATAATAAACGGATTAGCATATTAGAAAAACTAAACTATATATTTTTGTGAAGGTCAAAATTTGCCAACCTATGTATATGACAACACAGCCCAACATATAAAGTGGTTTAATATGAACAATGACTAATTACAAATTAGCTTTTCATTGATTAAAAAACCGATATATTCTTAGTCACATAATACCTTAATTGTGGTAAATAAACAGGAAGTAGTTGCGTACTAGGTTATTTATTATTTAAAAATGGTCGGTCATGGAACTTTTGTAAAGTATTTATATCATGTATCATCAAATATGGGTGGTGTGTAATTACACTTTTTCTTCCTTTAGTTGTTTCCTAAAATATGCCTTTTATTTTTAAAGTCGTGTGTAATTACACTTTCTCAATAATTTAGAAGAAAACCGATCATTGTGAAAATATAGTGTCACAACAAGTGTGTTGTATAGCCAGATCATTCCATTTCAATGCAAGATATGTATATAAAAAAAAACCACATCATTTCAAAAAAAAAAGTTCCATTGGATCATTACGAAAATATCATTTTGATGGATAATATAAATACAAAAGATCAAACAAAAGGTGTCAGTTTTGCCAACAATATAAACCAAGAAAGAATGATTATTTAGAGGGAAAATACAATATTAACCATTAACGGAAGAAAAAAAAAAGAATAAAGTGAGTAAAAGAATAATTACTCTCAATGTGAGGAAAAAGAATAATCAGCATGATGCGTTCCACCGGTCCATCTTTGTGACCAAAACGAAATTATTTATGATTCTTTCAGAAAAAAATGAAGAATACAGAGAGTTTAAGGACCATTGATGAAAATTTGTCAATATCGTATTTTGTTTGCTTTTTGCCCCCCATGTGTATGTTTTTCACCAGTTTCAGGCATTTGGACTCTCTGAAGTTACCACACCTCCTTCTGTTTCAGTTGTTGTATTTTGTGGAGTCTGTGAACCTGAAAGCAATAACACACATATATGGTCAAACTTACATCTTTTGACTTCAAATGTACTATTCAATAATGCATATAAACTTTTACCCATTCTTCCATAATATACAACTTCAAATTGCATGGGACAAACTATTCCTCGGGAACTGGTCACTCTTTGTTAACAAGTGGCCAATCAATTATATATATATATATATATATATATATATATATATTCAAATTAGAACAAAACAATTAAGAGCTGTAAGAACCTTTAATTTTAAATGTTTATAAAGAGTTTAGGGTTTAAGATTTAGTGTTTAGAGTGTTTATAAAGGGTTTAGGGTTTAGGGTTCTTAACCCTAAACCCTAAACCGTAAATTCTAAACCGTAAACCTTTTATAAACATCTAAAGTTAGAAGTTCTTACGGTTCTTAATCTTTTTTTATTCTTATTTGAATAATTATATATATATATATATATATATATATATATATATATATATATATATATATATATATATATATATATATTTTGTACACTTGTTTGTTGGAAAAAATTAAAGAGTTATATATACTACGAAAATAAAACTTGTGATGAATTTGACTTTAATATGACCTTAAAAATGTATAACAGTCAGTCGATATCAATGATCCTTAGAAGTAATGTGTGTCAAAAAGACAAATGTGCCCTTACCACATACAAACCCTACACAGACAAATGAATCTAGAATTCACATGCACTCCAACTGTTTGACTGGTTTTGGTTTACTCATTCTGTACATCTGGCATCAATTTCCCATTGACCCCATCATGGGCCTATGACCATCACCCATTACAGCTCATCTCACATGGCTCTTATGGGCCCCACCATTACCACATACATATCTATGCTTAAATTTAATGTACATGTATTCTATTCCCATATCTTTCCATAATTCTATACCATCAACAAACCAATAATTACCATTTCTTACCACTACATTTTCTATGTGTATAACATTAATACATGATACATGATACATGCATATTCATAATGATGTTGATTATGATGATGATGATGATGATGATGGGTGAGAAGTAAACATACCCGTGGGGGAGGGAGAAGGAAAAGGATGCCTCGTGGGTAGTAGGAGAGGGGGAGGTGGTGGCGTAAGATAGCCAGGGAATGTTGAGGGGTCCATCTGGGAAGGCGTAGGATAGTAAAGATAAGATGGTCCATGGATACGTTGCGCCTGATGTGGTGTTAGTGTTAGTGCACCAGGGGCAGAAGCAGCAAATGTTCCTCTGGGTGTGGGTGATTGGGTGGTGGGATACCCATAATAATACGGTGTACCTGTGGGCCCATACATTTGATGATAGTATGCCTGTTGAAGTGCTGGATTGTACATTGCCTGTTAAAACACATAACCATAACCAATTCCATGTTATTATGACTTGTACTTTATGTAGATTCATATTAATATGAAGTGTTACAAATTTACAATCACACGTACATAAAATAGTAAAATACAATTAAATAAAAACTTTTATTTAATAACGAAATGTATAATTTTAAAATATAAAGCAAATTCTAATGTTACAGATTTACTGAGGGACCAAATGAGTACATTAATGTAGTTAAAAAGAGGACAATTATAACCACACGCATTTATGTTTTATTATGACAACAGTACAAAAATATTAGAGTTTTTATTTATTATAATATTTACAAAAAAAAATAGTTAAATAAATAACTTACTTGCTGGTAAGAGTAATCAGGTGCGTACGTCGCGTATCTGCGAATCAGTAAAATTCAAATGTCAGGCAAAATCACTTAAATATCATTTAAAATAAAAATAGAGTAAGATCTTGCTTTTTTTTTTTATTTTTTAATTTCTCATTAATGACTTTTTGGATATATAACATTAATAAAATATTACTAAAAACGACGCATATTTAGGAAAACGAAATATTAGAAAACCATGGAAACATCTTAGTTTAGTTTTCTGCTTTATGAAAAAAAAAAAAAAAACCATAATTTTTTTCCATACACAACAATTGATGTTTTATAAAGTTGTACAATACAATATTTTAATGCATAAATTGTTGTGTATGAACAAAAATTATTGCGTACGAATCAGTTGAAAAAAAAAAATAACACTTAGATATATGTTACCGAATAATCTATTCCCACTAAATCCTATATTAAAAACAACTGAATATATATATTTTCCTATTTTAACAGCGAATTAAAATCGATGTTTTTTCATTAAAATTTTAATAATTGATAAGTTTATATGATTAATATATAAAGAGTTAACTGGGACCATTTAAATCTGAAAAAGCTGAAGGTTGTCTGGAGTTTTATGTAATCCTGCAATGGCAGCCAACTTGGCAATAAAGCAACCATTGGTTATAAAGAAAAAAAAAAAAAAATCTCATATCCATATATAATAATAGAATATTTATTGACAAAGAATCTTATATTTTAAAAAATACAAACATTATCTATTATTAACCTAATTATTATATAACAGTTAGAGGAATCTTAGTGGAAAGCTTAAACAGGGTGTATAACTATAAATACGATTATGTTAATTAATTTGATAGTTGAACACAAGTAATTATAAAAAAGTCAACAGTATATGCCATTTAAGCTTTCCTGTTGCCAACTCATTTATATGTATATATAAGCCCCACACCCACTTCTCCTCTGTCAAGACCAACTTTCTTTATTAATTTATAAATGTTTTTTTTGACTTCACTTTTTCACCTAAACTTCACAAAAGTGTAACAAAAAATAAATAAATAAATAAATAAAACTCACCCATATGGTGGATACATGACGGAAGGAGGTGGTGGAGGTGGTGGAGGAGGAGCTCGTGGTGGTGCTACACCACTGTAAGATGATGATGCACCTTGGCCCATTGTATTTGTTCCTTGATATGCGATATTAATATTCCCACCTTGATTCCTTCCTGTGGTGGGTTTCGATCACAACACATTATGTTAAATTATTTATCGGATTCATAAAACAAAACATTTTAAATTTTAAATAATAATCTTGTTTTGTTTAAAAAGATTATGACAAAAAACCTTGAGGAGAAGCTCGAGGACGACCAAGAGATGCGATATTACAGTTTGCTCTTCTTCCATCTATCATCGGGTTCGGGTCTTCACAAGCTCTTTTTGCTGATTCAGGTTCCCGATAAGTCACCTGTTAATATAAGAATGAAAATGAACGAAAAATATTGTACTAATAAAAGTATTTATAATACATTGAATAATGATATAACAAGGGTTATTTCAATAGTTTAAACTAGAAAGATATAAATGTATAAAGAAAGGGAGGAAATGAGAAAACATACGAAGCCATAACCCTTAGATTTTCCGGTGATTTTATCGGTGATGATAACGGCTTCAAGAATGTCACCAAACTGTTCGAAATATCTACGCATTTCATCAGTTTGTGTCTCCCAAGCAAGGCCACCAACAAACACTTTGGTTAAAGTGGTGTCGCCAAATGGAGATCGATAATGTTGGTATGCCATTCTTGAATTGAAGTAAAGATTGTTTCTGAGACTTGCTTTGGAAGGTGAAGATGATCAAGATTCATGCAGAATCAAAAGTATCGAGTTTTCTGCTTCTCTCGTCAACCTCCATGGATATAAAAAAGGAAAAGCTGGAGAAGTGTTTCTGGTTATGGTTGTGGTGTTTGATGAAAAGGGTGTTAATAGAAAACCTAGAAAAAGAGTGGTGGAGAGAGAGAGAGAGAGAGAGAGAGAGAGAGAGAGAGAGAGAGAGAGAATCCGACAGTTGCAAACTATTATTTGCTGTATATCAGAAGAGATGGGTGGGGTGAGTTTATGGCTTTGTTGTAACAATTGACAGCTGCTTCAAAGAGAGAAAGAGAAAGGGAATAGAGAGAATGAGAGAGACTCTCTCTCAAGTATATATATATATATTATATATATATATATATATATATATATATATATATATATATATATATATATATAATATATATATATATATATATATATATATATTAATACTTTTTAATAAATAAAATTTTTTTTGTCAGATCATGTTCTCCTTCATTGATACTTATCATTTTGTGAGAATTTTAGAAATTTTATTTTCCACTTATTATTTTTTAAGGATTTTTATTTTTTTAAAATAAAATTCATAAAATTATAATGGGTTTTATAAGGAAATAAAATTATACTATTAATTTGGTAATAAATTCTTATAAATTTTCAAACAATTTAATTTGTTTTGCAAATTTTCTGAAGATTGGATTATATTATGTAAAAAATTACATTATAAAATATTTCATATTTATATATTGATATTAAAATTTTATTTTTAATAAACCTATATAATATACGGGTTTCACACCTAGTATATATATATATATATATATATATATATATATATATATATATATATATATATATATATAGATATATATTGTTTGATTGCATCCTTATATATACACTTAATAAAACATTATATTCTCATTTTCCCTAGTTGTCTTTGCATTCTTAGTGTTTTTCAGTTTGGCACTATGCTATTTATGCCTCTCAATCTTTTATAATTAAGAGATACATATACACATACATACTACTCATGGATAAAACCCTGCACGGGATATCGTTATGCATAAGGTTATACATTTTGTTACATCTTTTAACACCTATATACCATATTGTCACATCTTATTTTCATTCTTTCTTTTAGCTAAAGTTATACATTTCTTTCAACTTATATTCATTTTCTAATGAAAATAATTAAAATAAATTTAGCATTACTAAAATAGTTCGTTAAACTAAACTTAATATATATATATATATATATATATATATATATATATATATAATATATATATATATATATACATATATATATATATATATATATATATATATATATATATTAAATTAAACTAAAAAAAATTACTTAACAATAATATTAAAACCAAGCCGCCGATCACAAAAAATAAATAAATAATTTATATTGTGTTCTTCAACATCAAAGTTGTTTGAAATGTGGAGTCCGGTAAATGATCGATATTCACTATTATAATTGTAAATTTTCATATTTTTCACTTCATTTTTGCATGGGTTGTTTTTCCTTGAGTGCTACTTCTTAATTTGAAAAGAAGTTTTTCACCTTCATAATCGACTTCATGAACATAAATTGGATGTAAGAGTGCCACGTTGTGTAGTACTTGTTCATGTTGGATGTCTTCACCCGTTTGGATCCATTATTTTTAGCCAAAGGCATGCTTCTCATTTTTGGGATATTTTTACAATGTCTCAAGGTGACAAATCACTCGGCTAAAATTATCTGGGTATTGCATCATTGCTGCCTTCAAGATTTTGAAGTCACTTTGAACACTACTATGTTGATTTATGAAGTTGTTGAATATAGCATTGAACTTCAACACTTTCTAGTCCTTCAATTTTGAGATGAGTTGGTTATGGCTATGATTTTCTACCGGTACATATAATAATGCAATCTCTAATGGTTAAAAACCATGGCCAAAGGTCTTTGATAATGGTTTTTTTTTTTCTTTTTTAATCGAGACCTATATTCGTGTCACTATTGATACCTTATGGCCACATGTCCTAAACCATGACTAAATCTCTTTGAAAAATCGTGGCCATAAGATAAAATTATGTCTATATGATTTTCATAGTTTTATATTCAATTATTTTTTAATAATTATAACCCTAAAATACTTATGGTGAGTGTTAATATCTTTACTAGGTGTAAAACTCATGTATTACACGGATTGATGAAAAAAATATATATTAAAATATAAATAATAACTATTTTTTAAAATAAAATTTTGAAATAAGAAATGAAGAAACATATTAGTTGCAATTTAGTATAATATTTATTACATTTGATACTTAATAAGTATATGTGTTATGTGACTTTTTATTTTAAAAATTGAAAAAAAAAACCATAAATTAACATGTGAATATTATTTATTTAAAAATTATCACAAAATGACAAATGTTAAAATTAATTAGAGATTGATATGTGGCAAAATTATCTTCATTTATTATAGTAGATTATGTGACTTTTTATTTTAAAAACTAGGTGTGAGACTCGTATATTATACGAGTTGATTTAAAAAATGATTAAACTTAAAGTATAAAACAAAAATATTTTTCAATGTACAACTTTAAAATAAGAAAGAAAGAAACGTATTTATTACAATTTAATATCATATATATGATATTTAATACTTTTACATATATAAGTATATGGTTTTAATTAAAAATTAAAACAAACAAAAAATTAACAAGTGAATAATATTTATTTTAAAATTACCACAAAATGATAAGTATTAAAACTCATGAGAGATTGATAAGTGATAAAAAATCTTCATTTATTAAGGAGGATTGAAAGAAAAAAAAAACCATAAATTGATATGTGGATATTATTTATTTAAAAATTATGTGGATATTATTTATTTAAAAATTATCACAAAATGATAAATCTCAAAATTCATTAGAGATTAATATTTGGTAAAATTATCTTCATTTATTATATTAGATTATGGTAATTGGTTACTTTTAGACACACATAATAATATATAATATAATTGCGTAATAATATATAATTGTGATGTAGTTATTTTCACAATTTGTATTTATCATTGACAATTAGTTATTTTTAGATATACAATCGTAATATAAAACTATGACCATATGATACTTAAAGTTGTTATTTATTTATTTTTATCATGAAAATTACTTACTTTTAGACCCACATTAAAACATTAAAGGATAACCATATAATATATGTATTCATTATTTTTTAATTATACAAATTGTTTGCTTTTAAATACACATTAGAATATAAAATTGTGTCCATAAGATACATATAGTCAAATTTTTGTTTTTATACGGTGACAATTGGTTTCTTTTAGACATACATTAAATTAATAAAATTATAACTATAAAGTGCTTATAGTCATAATTTTATATCTTTATCAAAACAAATAGTTATTTTTAGAAACACATTAGAATACTAAATTATGATCATAAAATGCATATAGGAGTTTGTTTACCTTTATCATTAAAATTGGTTAGTTTTACCAAAAATGCCTATAGTCATTCTTTGTTTATCTTTATCATGATAATTTGTTAATTTTACAAACTAATACAAAATACATAATATAGAACCCAGTATGTATAACTCAAACGGGCTCTATTCTACCTAAAAATTTTGATTTCTTCTAAATTTTTAATGGGAAAATATCATTGTAGCCCCACTAACTTACAAGTTTTGATTTAAAAGGTTTCTTATTTTATTTTTTGGCATTAGAAGGGCATAAACTAGCATTTAACCGGCTAATTTGGCAATTTTTTATAAAGTGAACGGGTCACCCAGTGACCCCAATCCCAATCAGCATTATTTCTTGGATATGTCATTAAAAGAAAGCCAGGTCATTAAACTAAATCATATGTCACGTGTTAGTGTATCGATAAATGACACCAACCCTTCCTCTCCAAGTAATTTTCGTCTTTAATCGGTTTCATCTACCAATATCTTCTTTTTCTTCTACTGTTCATCCAAAAATCAAACCTGGATTTTTTCTATGGCCGTCTACATGAAGATAGATCTTCATTTTGCTGGTTTGTTTACGAGGTATCCAATGATCAGTTACTCAGATGGAGTGGAGCAAAGGTTTGAGGATGTGGATTTTGCTAGAATGGATAAAAACGAATTTCTATTGTTCATTTAGAGATTCGCAAATGAGACGTGTGTTGATGTGTACTTTTGCATGCCTGATATCGAGTTCCCTAAAGTACTGAGGATAATAGCAAGTGAGAAAGACTACCAGGAGTTTATCGAAGTAAGGTATGATTCTGGTTGTGTAATTTCTGTGTACATGGATCATGTTGGTGTTCATGTTCATCAATGGATTGTTGATGAGATGGCTGAAGTATGCACCCCCGAGGACAAGTTTTCTGGTGTAGGTGAAGTAGTAGAAGAGTTGCATGTTGAGGCAGAAGGAGGCATTGACCTAGATGAAGTACAAGTGCAAGGTGATTTGGACGAAAACTTTGAAGATGGAGATTGCATTCCCATGAACAAGACCTTGAATGATGTATTTTTGAACAAGCTCTGCCCCAAGGAGCAACCAACTCCAAACACTCCACCTCAAGAGGATCCATCTCATGAAGATCCATTTGATTAGATGGATGACCACGACCCAATTCATGAGGAGGTAACAGCTTTTAATGAAAATGTTCATTGGAAAAAACAAAAACCTGTGTTAGGAATGAGATTTGAAAATCCTAAACAATTAAAACATATGTTGTGTAATTATGCTGTTGCTAAAGGATATCAATTGTGCTATAAAAAATGATAGTAGGAGGCTTTTAGTTAAATGTTGTTCAGGGCAATGCAAGTTTAGATTGTGGGCTTCATGGATGAGTGAGGAAAATTCATTTCAGATTAAGTCTCTTATAGATGACCATAATTGTGCTAGAAATTTTAAAATGGGGTCAATTGTAAGCTATGCATGGATTGGTAGCCATTTCACATCTAAATTTTTACAAAAACAAAAAATGAGTGTTAGGCTACTAAAGGAAGAAGTAAAACAAAAATTTGGAATTGATGTGAGTATGGGACAGTGTAGAAGAGCAAAGAAATATGCAATTGAACTTATTGAAGGTACACTAGTTGAGCATTATGCCAAGCTTTGGTCATATGGTGAAGAGATAAGAAGATCCAATCCAGGATCAACTGTCAAATTGGATGTCAACAGTATGCCTGATGGGAAGACATATTTTAGTAAGTTTTACATATGCTTTGAGGGGCTGAAACAAGGTTGGAAAGGAAGTTGTAGAAGAGTAATAA